CTACAGGTTAAACGCCACGGTAAACAACGGCAATGTCGTTTTAACTGTTCAACTTTAAACGTACACATGTCATAACTCCTAACTGGAATAATAAATAAACATAACGACCTTCCCATTCGCTCTTTGCAGCACTAGTCAAAAAACGCCGTTTTCTGCTGAGGGGAAATCTATAATAACCTGCTATTTAGGATAATGAATTCATGCCAGCCTAATTGAGTCCTTACCTTCACTGGTGGACGCAATTTGTTTTTAATATTCTTCTAAGATCCCCCTCGTTGCAGAGCCCCTCTCCTCTCCACTCTCTCTATCCGTTTAATATTGCAACAATATTGCTGCGGTCGCGAGAGCCTTCCTTCCGCGCGACTCTCTCTAGCCTGAAGGCGGAGGCGGGGCCGGGGCGCTGACGTCACGACCCTGCTATAAGTACTGTACAGTGAGATACAGAATCACCAAAACCACTTTAGAGCACTTCCCTCTCTCTTTCTGCCTCCATCTTCCTCTACTGTAACTGCAACATTTGTTCTAGAAATCCATATTCATGTAAAACAACCTGTTTGCTAAAGTAAGACCACGTCGCCTTTTTATTTTAAAAAGAAGCAAAATAATTGTAGATTTATTCCATATGCCCACTGTCTCAGCATACTGAAGGCTTATATGGTAGAAATTAGAAAAACCAAGGAACACAGCTAAGAATCAGCCTCGTTTTTTCTATTCCAATACATCAATACAGTAAACTCTCCATCCTGATACTGTCCTCAATTACCCAGTGAACATCTAAGTGCCTGAACATACACATACACACACACTTTGATTTATGAGTCACTAATGGAGCCCTCAGGAGAAGCACATACATTCAAAGGAATCGGAAAATAGTCTGAAAGTCTGGCTCATAATGCAAACTGCACATACCAGTGTTTTGAAGCAAAAGTCTGTGTTGTATTTAGACTGACTTTAGGAAATAGATTAACAACAGCGATGCAAGACAACAATGCGAGTCGTTATCTTTTAAGCCAGATTACAAACTGTGTGGTTGTGAAATGCTACTGTAATGTTTTTAGAAGACACAAATGCACACTTAACCATTGCCATTGAATAGCCATTAAAATTAAATTCTAAGAACTCAAAAGCAGCACAAACTGGAATAAAATAATCTGTCACTGTAACAGAAATATCCTTGAGGCTTTTAAATCAATTTTTCACCTGTTTCCACTGACTATTGTAGCGTATCTGGAATAAACCACCAATAGATTACAAAGCAACTTTGTTCTTTCAACTTTGCTAGATTGTTAGCAGAATGAATTGCTTGGTGAATCTGCCACCTACAGACAAAATGGTACAATACAGCTTTTATAAGAACAAATGGCACATTCACATTCACTCACACTGCTACCTCTGCCATATTAAATTTAGTAGTGACACTGCTAATTTTTCAGTGTGACAATGGACAAAATACATTTTAAGACTTACAAATACAGCAGCTATTTTTCAGCAAAGCTGACTGACTATTACAAAGAAAACATTGATTATCCATTTGATGCATGTAGGAATTTAGATGGAATAAAATCTATCATCTGTTTTCTATGTGACTACAGTAGACCTAATTTGCTAGAATATTTGAGAATCTCACACCTTTCCCCAGAGAGAGAAAGTGGGAGGGAGAAAGAGAGCTAAAGGAGGAGAGAGAATGAAATGAGTTTCCTGAAGAGGAGATACAGCAAATGGGAAAAAAGGGCCATAAACGATAATGAACATTCCCCCTCTCCTTAATCTCCTCCATCCCCCCTCTGAGAGCCAGGAGTCTGCAGCCTGCAGGAAGGATGCTGCTAATTTCCTTCTTTATTGAATTGAGCTGGACACACGCGTCCTGCTGGGCCGACCAGCCTCCTCGCCACATCCTCTGCTCTCACTCCGATGCTCATCTGAGGGCCTCTTTGTTAATTATTCTGCCTATTTGTACAAACTCTGTGTTTCTCTCTCTTTTCTTTTGCCATTTCGGTATCTCAGCACTTAGTCTCCATTTCTTACTCAGCCTTTTTTCATCTGCCTTTATACTTTCTGCAAATAGGGTACAAAATAAGACCTTTAACAATGAAAGGTGGAGCTTAACCTTCAAAGTATCGTCGCCAGCCTAAGGCTTTCAAATTGTATTATACCGTATGAAATGTTTAATTTTACACTACTAATTATTGGAACTAAGTTTTTTTTAAAGAAATGACTTTTATTCAGTAAACACATTAAACTGATCAAAAGGCAAAGAAAGATTTTCATTTCAAATAAATGCTTTTCTTTTAAACTTCTATTTGTCAAAGAATCGTGGAAAAAATATGTTGATGTGTATCATAGTTTCCACAGAAATATTAAGCAGCACAACTGTTTTCAACATAGATAATAATAAGAAACGTTTCCTGAGCAGCAAATCAGCATCATTTCTGAAGGATCATGTGTTGCTGAAGACCAGAGTAATTTCTGCTGAAAATTCAGCTTTAAAATCACAGGAATAAATTACATTTCAAAATATATAAAAATAGAAAACTGTTATTTTAAATTGTAGAAATATTTCGCAATATTATTGTATTCGCTGTATTTTTGATCAAATGAATGCAGCCTTGGTGAGCATAGGTTCTGTCACTTCGGTCTAGTGTAATTCATGGTTTTGTGACTTTCAGAAACATTCTTACTTTTAAATGTACATTACATTTTTACAACCCTGTTATTAATATTTTGCCTAAAAATGTCTAAATGTTGTTTAAAAACCTGATTTGTGATATTTTTTTTTTAGCAATGAACGTTAAATGAATATCAAAATGAAATAAAACTCAAATGCAAATTTAGTCTAAATTAAGCTGTAAAGTTAACTTGGAATTAATGTTATTTTTTAGTTATTGTAGTTGTCACATATAGTTATTTATACATTTATACAGCATTTCCCTTTAATTCAAGATTTTTTTAAATAAAAACAAATCATGACAATTTTTATGTGGTTAAAGCTATAGCCTCATGCGGTCTATGTTAATGTTATTTGTGATATAGAACGGTTCCCTATTTTTATTGATAGTGCCTCTTGTGCTTTTGGCTCATCTGCCCACTTCTCCTGTCATGCCCCACCCACAGAGACCAAAACTGCGGTAGGACATTAATGAAACCACACTGCGGCATGTCTTGTCTGGCATTCGGTACACAATAACAGGAAAATGGAACTATAATTTGGAGTTAATAGAGATTTTTATGTGTACTGAAATCGAAAAGACCAGCCTACACCAGTATGAATTCTTGTCCAGACTGGTTTATAGTGGTTAGTGCTGTATAGGTTAGGTGCCAGAATAGTTGAAGGAACAGCATAGCCATGTTCAGAGCTAGTCAACCATGGTTATTTTGGAGACGTTGGTTGACCAATTAAGTCGGTTATGTGGACTAGGAACCTGGTGTAGTGTCTCCATATATCTAATTCTGAGTTAAGACCCATTCACACCAAAAACATTAACTATATAAATAACTATAACTACAGTACAGTAGAGTCCTCCTCACCAACGGATGTTCATTTTCTGGTTATTATAAGCGTGTGACTGGCCAGCTAACAAAAATATGTTCTAAGAATGTTTTGCTAACATTCCCATTAAGTTCTGAAAACATTATTTCCGAACGTTCTCTGAATGTTCAAAATGTCCAGTTTTTTTAATTTTGAAAAACATTGCTTTGTTACATTATGCAAATGTTAAGGGAATATTCCATTTATCATTTTCTAAAAAAAGAAAACTGTAAGGAAACATTACTTATGAATGATCTCTTCTGAAACAATTAGTAACATTTAAAAGAACAAAATGTTTCATAAATAAAACCTTCCATGAATGATGTATAATAAAGTTTTTGTGCTAACTTCTGAAAACCTTTTTAAAGACCAGATACACTGAATTAACTTTGTATTAACCTTACTTTGCCAGAATGTTAATCAAAGTTCTGAGAGCGTTTCCTTTTAGCTGCAGTTATGTAATTGTTCAAGCTTTTGTATTGTGGTTGTGGTCAACGTTTTTATCATTTATCAAAAAAAAAAATGTCTGTGAAAAGTCTGTGTTATCATTCCTCTGTGTTGTTATTGTTATAGTTGTGGTCTGAGCATCACTATTCTCTTTATAGTTATGGTCCTTGGTGTGAATGCACCTTTGAACTAACAATGCTGGGTGAACGTGATTTGACCAAGTACAACATGTTCCAGGTTCAACATCCTTGTTGATCCTGGAATAACATTCCAATCAACCAATCAGAATTGAGGGATAACTTTTCAGGAAATATCTGTTTTAGGCTTACGATCAGGGTTAGGTGCTTCTACAACCTTGTTATTCAGCTATCATTTCACACTGATTTTAGGAATAAATTATGGGTAGTGTTTTGTTTAGGGGTAGGGATTGGGTTAAGTCTGTATTTTTGGACAGTAATGTTGATCCAGGATCAACAAAAGATGTTTATCCAGGAACATGTCTTGGCAAAATCACAGCAACCAACAAACTTTAAGTTGAACACATTTCAGTGTGTGTACAAACTGAGGTGTACGTGACCGTAAGAACGGTTCACCTTTCTTCGTTAGATTGGCATTTCAACAGTTTTCTCACACCTCAGTTAATTAGCCAGCTGCTCAGAACACTTGTTAATTAGAAGAGAACTAACTGCCATTCCTTCTAAATACAACCACATGAACTCACATCCACCCACCCCACCCACAGGTGGCCTATGAGTTCATGCTTCTGCATATTATAAGCAGCACATTCTGACAGTGCCAGAAATATCTAGATTAGGGCAACAAAATAGTGAATAGTGACATTTTTTACCTTCTAATAAAAATAAATAAATGCAAACTGAAGTAAAACACCTCCTGTCAGTAAAGCACAACGCCCACAATGATTTCTGCGCCATCTGGATGGACTGAAATGAGACATGGCTGTTTACATGCTGAATGTATGTCAGTCAATAAACATGTACAGTAAAGATATTAGAGAAGACTGCTGTACCTGCTCGTTGTTGTTCATGCACTGTAGTTTCTTCTGTTTCAAGTAGGTTGTCGTGAGGGGCATGTTGTAGTCGATGAGGTCGGCCGCCAGAGAAGTTGGTTGATTATTTTCTGAGCAAGCATGAGAGATTTACAATGGTTAGACCATACAAATATAATAAAAAAAAAGGAAAAGTGAATTATTCTATTGTTATACTTGATATTCATATAAAGAATGTGAATACAGTAAATGTTATTTCTCTAAACTGTCACTAGAGGGCAGTATCTGCCCCAGTGTTTTTTGCTGGCGCACTTCTGCCTCAGATTAACAATGTCAAACAAAGGCCTAATTATAAAAATAAAAAAATCCATATGCAAATTACATTAATATTCATGGTGAAATGTGTAGATATTTAAATCCATTCTCCACCCACAGCTGTTATATTTTCCTCCAAAACCACTGTAATGATGTCCTGTGATTTGTGTGAAAAACCACTGTGAATATTTGTGTGAAGATCATGATGATAATGCTTCTGACTTTGACAGTAATCATTTCTGATTTGTTTAGTGTCGGTGTGTAGTTGTGTGTGTGTTTATGCATACATATACACTCCATTTTAAAGGGATAGTTCACCCAAAAATGAAAATTCTGCCATAAATTCCAGTTCCATGAAATGTTTAAGTCCCAGAAAGGTAGTAAGGACATCGTTAAAATCGAGAAGAAATTGTTGAATAAAGTTGTTACTTGTTTTCTTTGCACACAAAAAGTAGGCAACGGCTATTTACACTAAGTGAAAATAGCATATTTTATTAGCGATGGATTCTATTTGCACTAAGTGAAAATAGCAGTATTTTTAACAATATGCATTTACACTAAGTGCAAATAGCTATAAATTATATTTACACTATGTTAAAATAGCAAGATTTTCTGCTCTTTATACTACTTAATGCAAATAGTGGCAATTATCTGCACCTCAGTATTGTAGTACATTATAAAACAGTATGCGATAATAACGTATTGTGTAAATTATACATTTTATTCAAATTATTAAATGGATGCCACCTTATTGGAACAATAAAGCCCACCCTACACCTACCCTAACCCTACCCGATACTTTATTTTCAACGTTTTGATTATTTCCTTAATTTGTATTGAAAATAAATGGCTTTCTGATGTGATATGAGATATGAAAAGGGAGAAAAAAAGTTGGTTGATCGCATTAAAAAGCACACGTCTTACCATCTACACCACTGAAACTGGTGTTTGATGAACATCTTTTGTAGTGTTGACTAGCCCAATCACGTGTTGCTGGGTGGAGTTAGTGTAAACAGCCTCTGCCAACAAGGTGGGCTATTTGCACTTAGTGTAAATAGACACTCCGCAAAAGGTATTCTCGTAGCTTCATAAAATTACGGTTGAACCACTGATGTCACATGAATTATTTTAACGATGTCCTTACTACGTTTCTGGGCCTTGAACGTGTCAGTTGGGTTGCTGTCTATGGAGGGTCAGAAAGCTCTCAGATTTCATCAAAAATATCTTGATTGCTGTTCCGAAGATGAACGAAGGTTTTACGGGTTTGGAACGACACGAGGGCGAGTAATTAATGACAGAATTTTCATTTTTGGGTGAACTAACTCGTTAAGTGCACTCAGAAGTGCACAGGCAGTATGGTCCTCCTGAGTTTGGGAAGAAGGTCTAAAACATGAGGAATTCCTAACAATTTCCTTTAGATTTCATAAATGTGGAAGCATTTTTAGTCATATAACAGCCTTCTCATTTATGGATTTTATCGGCTTTGAGTTAAAAGAGCCATGAAGCAACCCATTACCTGCTGATAATCTCACACACATATACACACACAGTAATGGATGAGCTGTTTACTGTGTATTGATCAATTTCATTTTCTCATTTCGTATGGATTTACCACAACAAACTAAAAAAAAAAAAATCCTTCAAGATCTAGATCACCGCTAAAACCAACAATGGTAATAATGGTTAATAATGGTTAAAGACAAAAAGGATTTTCAGACGATTTCCAGTTTTGTCAGGCTGCTAAAAAGACAGGTTTATTACACTGATGAAGTCATTCAGTAAGTTTTTCACCTGAGACTGCAAAAAAAAAAACCGCATAAACAAGCTAGCATGAATTACTGAAGCTAATATTTAGCGCCACCCATTATATAAAAAACATAAGCATTCTTTTAAAAAGAGTGCTTACTATAGAAATAATATACTTTATAAATATATATAATTAAGTGTGAACTGAATGTAATGTTTTCAAACACATAATTGCATGTTATTTACAATTAAATGAAAATGTACTCTAGTTTAAATTTATATTAAATGCAGAATTTTGACCCACTTAAGTAAGACTTCATACATCTTTATATGTAATTTCATAATTACTTCCACTGTCTTTGAAGCATCGTAAAACATGGTAACTTTAATGTAATTTTTAATGTCATTGAAACTAGTATATCATCAATTTTAAATATATTTGGAACTATTTTGGAAATTTGGAAGTTAAAACTTTAAAAAAAACTTTTAATTAAATCTCAAATAACACACTACAGTTAAAAATTATAAGTACCTTAAATGTGCCTTAGTATGTTAACATTAGTTTAATCAAAGAACGAAGCAAGAGGATGTTCAGCTAAACAAAAACCAATAATTAGCTTATATTTAGCCATTACACTGTGCATCTGTCAGCTGAAGAAAGAGTTAGGAAAAAGGTGTGTTGACATGATTTCACCACATCCTCAACATGTACTACTAATATCACTATTTCTGTATCTATATATAAATTACGCATGAAACCGCAAGGCAGCAACAGCAGATATGTGGATAAAAGAGCCCATATCCACCACAGCCTGAGTGTCAATTAAAGACAAGCGAGTGTACAGTAATTAATTACTCTGAATAATTCAGCACTGAACTTTCGTATGGCTGGCTGGAGGGGGGAGGTCTGTGCACCCCCATGGGCAAGAAGCCAATTAGTTGCTCTCTTTATGAGCAACACCCAACCTAAGCCCAACGTTGACACAATGCTTTGACAGCTCAAGCCTAGGAGGTGTTGCTCTAGTAAAAAAGGATGGAATGAATTGCTGAAATGTACCCTATGTCCCCATGCAATGAGTCCCACCCCCTTCTCTTTCTTCCTGTCTATAGCTGACCAGCTCTCCCTGTGGTAGGCATGAGGCCGGGCCAGATGGTGTTCACAGATGGTTATTGTGGTCTTAAAGTGGGATTACCTCCCTCTGCTCGCAGTCCGCTGCTCCTTAAGACAGCAGCCCAGGACAGAGCCACCCAATTATCACCTACACTACAACCCCTGCTGACCTTAATGCACCATTACAAAGTGAATGGCTTTTAGCCTAGCAGGAGGCTTGCAGCCAGGTTAACCAAATCTAACGTAGATTGAAGACAAGCCAAGTTTAACAGTATTAAGTAAACTTAGCAATGATTGGAGTCTTTATACACACAAGTATGGAGTAATAATAAAAGACTGAGTAGCTGTAGAGTCATCATCTATGGCTATGTCATGAATATTTCCACATTATCTGTGGTAAGCCTTGTTAGCTCATAGTGTTAATCAATGGACTCTGTAGAGCATATTTGTTTGGCTTTAATTAAAACATAAACTTATTTTATGTAATAATATTTTATTAAAAGTCAAACAATGCTTTTATCTGCCACAATAATGGAATAATAATGCCACTGAATGATCAAATTCTTTTGGGTGCTTTATATATATGTATACACGGGTACACTACTATTCAGAAGTTTGGGGTCAGTAAGATTTTATTTAAAAGAAATTAGTACTTTTAATCATCAAGGATGCCTTTAAATGGATCAAAAGTGACAAAGACATTTCAAATTCAAATAAATGCTGTTCTTTTGAGCTTCTGTCTCTATCTTTTAAAAATAATTAATATTATATTTTCAACAAAAATATTATGCAGCACAATGTTTTGAACATTGATAATAATAAGAAATGTTTTTTGAGCACCGAATCAGCATATTCAAAAGATTTCTGAATGATCATGTTACACTGAAGACTGGAGTAATGGCTGCTGAAAATTCCACTTTGCAATCATAGGAATAAATTAAACTATAATAAAATATATAAAAATGTTATTTTAAATTTAATATTTCAAAATATTACTGTTTTTAATGTATTTTTGTTAAATAAATGCAGCCTTAGTGACTATTAGACTTTCAGAAACATTAAAAAAAATCTTACCAACACCAAACTTTTGAAAGGTGATGTATTATATATTTATTTGTCCTTACTACGTTTCTGGGCCTTGAACGTGTCAGTTGGGTTGCTGTCTATGGAGGGTCAGAAAGCTCTCAGATTTCATCAAAAATATCTTGATTGCTGTTCCGAAGATGAACGAAGGTTTTACGGGTTTGGAACGACACGAGGGCGAGTAATTAATGACAGAATTTTCATTTTTGGGTGAACTAACTCGTTAAGTGCACTCAGAAGTGCACAGGCAGTATGGTCCTCCTGAGTTTGGGAAGAAGGTCTAAAACATGAGGAATTCCTAACAATTTCCTTTAGATTTCATAAATGTGGAAGCATTTTTAGTCATATAACAGCCTTCTCATTTATGGATTTTATCGGCTTTGAGTTAAAAGAGCCATGAAGCAACCCATTACCTGCTGATAATCTCACACACATATACACACACAGTAATGGATGAGCTGTTTACTGTGTATTGATCAATTTCATTTTCTCATTTCGTATGGATTTACCACAACAAACTTAAAAAAAAAAAAATCCTTCAAGATCTAGATCACCGCTAAAACCAACAATGGTAATAATGGTTAATAATGGTTAAAGACAAAAAGGATTTTCAGACGATTTCCAGTTTTGTCAGGCTGCTAAAAAGACAGGTTTATTACACTGATGAAGTCATTCAGTAAGTTTTTCACCTGAGACTGCAAAAAAAAAAACCGCATAAACAAGCTAGCATGAATTACTGAAGCTAATATTTAGCGCCACCCATTATATAAAAAACATAAGCATTCTTTTAAAAAGAGTGCTTACTATAGAAATAATATACTTTATAAATATATATAATTAAGTGTGAACTGAATGTAATGTTTTCAAACACATAATTGCATGTTATTTACAATTAAATGAAAATGTACTCTAGTTTAAATTTATATTAAATGCAGAATTTTGACCCACTTAAGTAAGACTTCATACATCTTTATATGTAATTTCATAATTACTTCCACTGTCTTTGAAGCATCGTAAAACATGGTAACTTTAATGTAATTTTTAATGTCATTGAAACTAGTATATCATCAATTTTAAATATATTTGGAACTATTTTGGAAATTTGGAAGTTAAAACTTAAAAAAAAACTTTTAATTAAATCTCAAATAACACACTACAGTTAAAAATTATAAGTACCTTAAATGTGCCTTAGTATGTTAACATTAGTTTAATCAAAGAACGAAGCAAGAGGATGTTCAGCTAAACAAAAACCAATAATTAGCTTATATTTAGCCATTACACTGTGCATCTGTCAGCTGAAGAAAGAGTTAGGAAAAAGGTGTGTTGACATGATTTCACCACATCCTCAACATGTACTACTAATATCACTATTTCTGTATCTATATATAAATTACGCATGAAACCGCAAGGCAGCAACAGCAGATATGTGGATAAAAGAGCCCATATCCACCACAGCCTGAGTGTCAATTAAAGACAAGCGAGTGTACAGTAATTAATTACTCTGAATAATTCAGCACTGAACTTTCGTATGGCTGGCTGGAGGGGGGAGGTCTGTGCACCCCCATGGGCAAGAAGCCAATTAGTTGCTCTCTTTATGAGCAACACCCAACCTAAGCCCAACGTTGACACAATGCTTTGACAGCTCAAGCCTAGGAGGTGTTGCCTATCTGTTTATCTCAGCGAGCGGGATGTTTGAGGGCAGTTCTTCTGATTGGCATCCAGCACTGCTAGGGACTAACTAAAAAACTGAGTTTTATCCATTTTTTTTCAACCCAGTGAAAATTTCCCAATCAAATTCCTCCCCCAATGGATTCTACCCACAATCCCTCTTTCTCTCTGTAGAAATAATCTGGTTTCAGAGGCATTTTCTTTGTTAAAAGGCCTGTAATTGGGCTAATTGCAGTGTGTAGGGAGGCTAGCAGGACACACCAGTGACTGCAGCCTAATCAGAGGGTGTTGAGATGTGTGTGTGTGTGTGTGTGTGTGTGGGAGGTGTGGTCAGAGGGGGTTTCATTAGCTTCAGGCTGGTGCGACGGGGGGAGCTCGTTACAGGGTGGGCAGGGGACAAAAGGGATGAGAGGGGGTTTTCTTAAAGACAATGAGTTATCCAATTAAGCATTATGGGTTTGAATATGTATAAATACTGTATATGGGAATGAATATTTATAGCTTGTCATTTTTTGGATTAGAGTCAATGAGTATAATGAGTTAATGCATAAAGCCATAAACCTTACTGTAAATAAAACGTACTTATCTGAAGTGATCCAGGTTGGTTTGTGTGTGTGTGTGTGTGTGTGTGTGTGTGTATGTGTGGTGCGATACCTTTGATCTCTGCTCCGCTGGGGCTGATGTGCATCCTCTTCTGACATTCTCCACAGCTCATCAGGAAACGGGTCACCGCCTCTCTGGGCAGGAACGCATACGTCTCCGCTATCTGACACACAAACACACACCGTGTTAAACTTCACTTTAGGATTTTTTGGGACTCATTGATTAAATCCAAATTCAGAGTGTTATAGAATGCATGCTCAGAAGTGCCTTTTGTGCTTAATACATGGTCAAATGTTTTCAGATAAGAAATTATAGCAACAATTAAAAAGACAGAAAGAAAAAAAAGCATTCATTATTTATTTTATTATTTATTATTTTCATTTATTGGTATTTGATTTGGACTAGTACTTATTTAGCTGTTATTAGCTAAAATGTTACAATCTTATTTATTATAATTTTTTTAGTTTATGCAAAATGTTTATTAATTTGTGTATTTATTCATTTAAAGTTTTGCAGGGTATGTGCACAAGAAATCATTTAGCTAACGTACTTATCTGAAGTGATCCAGGTTGGTTTGTGTGTGTGTGTGTGTGTGTGTGTGTGTGTATGTGTGGTGCGATACCTTTGAACTCTGCTCCGCTGGGGCTGATGTGCATCCTCTTCTGACATTCTCCACAGCTCATCAGGAAACGGGTCACCGCCTCTCTGGGCAGGAACGCATACGTCTCCGCTATCTGACACACAAACACACACCGTGTTAAAGGATTTTTTGGGACTCATTGATTAAATCCAAATTCAGAGTGTTATAGAATGCATGCTCAGAAGTGCCTTTTGTGCTTAATACATTGTCAAATGTTTTCAGATAAGAAATTATAGCAACAATTAAAAAGACAGAAAGAAAAAAAAGCATTAATTATTTATTTTATTATTTATTATTTTCATTTATTGGTATTTGATTTGGACAAGTACTTATTTAGCTGTTATTAGCTAAAATGTTACAATCTTATTTATTATAATTTTTTTTAGTTTATGCAAAATGTTTATTAATTTGTGTATTTATTCATTTAAAGTTTTGCAGGGTATGTGCACAAGAAATCATTTAGCGGTTATTACTTAAATGTTTTATTGCCTTTTACAAGAGAAGTGCTCAAATAATCAGTAATTTTTTCTTATGTGTGTCTTCAGTCATAGTCTTCATTCATTCATACATTCATCTTAATAGCATTGGTTGTAAAGTTTAGGCAAGATGTGAAACTATTACTGGTGATTTATTGTTGGTGAATAAAACAAACGTTAAACTTCATGTAAGTGTCATACTGGTTATTTTAACTTGCATTATAATTAATTACATGTTTATGTAAACTTATTAACCTTTTCCCTCATATTTTGCATCTTATATCATAGGGGCAGAGTAACAATGTTTTATTCCCATTCTGAGCAGAAAGCTGTAGTGAGGCAGTAAAAGCAAACAGAAGAGATGATTAGTTTGCAGACAGGGTGTGAATGCTTGGATGTTTTATTACAATACTGTCATCAAGTCCAGGACTAATAATTCCAGGGGGACTATCATATTGATATCTTTACCTTCAAAGAGGTGACTTTCCCTCTCAAACACACACACATACACACACACATCTCCCTCTCACATAAAATAATTAAGTGTGTGAGAGTGCTCATAATTGTCCTTGTCAAAACATTTCTCTGTCCCACACACACACACAGTGAGATTCAAATCATGTCATGTACACAAACGAATGCAGCTAGAGCGCTGTTGCCATCTGAAATTAATATTTTTTTTTCCCTTATACATTTCATATATGTATCTTTTTTTATGTTAACCCTCTTACTTCGCGTCTGTTTAGTTTCTCCCTTCTCCACCTTTCTGCCATAAACTGGACAAAGAAATAGAGAAAGTACACCCCCACATTGAAAGTCCCTTGTGTCTCTCTAATCTCCCATGAGGCTCTAACAAACAAGCATGGGCGGCCATGGAACCACAGCTGGAGGGTATAGCATGTACGTGTTTGCATTACGAAGGCAGAAGCTGAACTAAACACACAAACCCCACTGCTGCAGTGATACAACAGCCAGAAAACCGGAGCTTTCTCCTTTCCAGCACCCTGATTCCTCCCGGAGATCCTAAGAGGGGCAGGCACACAAATCCTGATGCCCAGAGAAAAGCTCTGCTCAAGGCCCTGCCCTCCCCTCATAGACCAACAGCTGTCAAGCGTGATAGGAACAAGGAACAGTGTAGAGGGTACAATATGTGCACGTGTATAAAACATATCACAGAAATTATTAATATAACAAAACTAAAAACAAGCTTATTTATGCTTTTATTAGTAATACCTTGTATGTAAAAGATACTGACTGTAAATGCATGTGAGAGCAAACATGTACTTTTGTAACCGTCCAAGAGAGGGCAGCAGCACTGAACCTGGACCTCCTCAGCACAACCACCAGACCAGGTGAGAGCGGTCCATGTCACTCTCACTTCCCATGTTTCCATGACAGCACATGTGTGATACAGAGTTCTAAAGATGTTCACCACAGACCTAAATATATCTTCTAAATATGAGCTGATCCTCATCTCTGCCTATAACAATGCAGAGAATGAAAGAAATGCAGAATGTAAGAAAGACAGAAAGTGTAAGCAGAATAGAAATGCAGAAATACACAATACAAAAGAGAGAAAAAAGAAAGCTAGAAAGACAAAAAAACTATAAAAAGAAACAGAAATAAAAATGAAATGCAAAAACATGAACAAATTTTAAAACATGAAAAAAATATAGAAATACAATAAATTGAGAAAGAGAGAAATACAGAAAGAAAAATGTAATTTAGAAAAAAATGCAAGCAAATAAAAACAGAAAGAAAAAATCAGACTGAATTAAAAATGCAAAAAGAAAGAAAGAAAGAGAGAGAGAGAGAGAAAGAGAGAGAAAGATGCAGAAATACATAAAAAATGCCTAAAGAAAGAAATACATGAAAGAAAGAAAGAAAGATGCAGAAATACATAAATAAATGCATTAAGAAAGAAATTTATAAAGAAAAAAGAAATGCATGAAGAAAGGAATACATGAGGAAATACATAAAGAAAGAAAGAATGCAGAAATACATAAAGAAAGGAATGTGTGAAGAAAATGCATGAAGAAAGGAAGAAATGCCAAAATAAATGCAGAAAAAAATTAAAACTGCAAAAAGAAGAAAAATGCACAAATGCAAACAGAGAAGAGAAATAAAGAACGTGATTGCAGATGTATAGAAAGGGAAAAATTTAAAAAGAAAGAAATGCAAAAAGAAAGAAAGAAATGCAGAAAGAAAGAAATGCAGAAAAGAAAGGAAAAGAAAAGAAAAGAAAAAAGAAAAAAGTTCTACATAGTCTCCAGCTTTCATTTACTAGGTAATGTTGGTGTATTCTGACTGATTCACCCAAAATTCACAGAGGCCAGCAATTCTCTGCTACAAATCACACCAGGACAACACACGGCAGGAGCCGCTCGCTTCTGTTCATGAGAATCAAAGAGGAAATAAATCAAACTGACAGAGTAAGGGACACTTTAAGTGACAGACAGATAGTGCTGGTCAAAAAAGGGCCACACGGGGTATTAAATCTGAACTATACGAGTCCATAAACATACTTCCATGTCTGATCAGAGACTATGAGAAAGAAGTTCCTTGCTTTCCTCACCGCTTTATATGTTTTCTTCTGTCCGGCGTGTTTGGGTGCTTTGGCCGGGTCAGAGCTGATCTCCACGTGCATGGCATAGATGATGTCATAGAAGTCCTCCACCATAGCGACCCTTTTGAGAAAGGAGTTCTCCGGCCCCGAGCCCCCGTCCACACACTGAAATCACACAAAAAAATAGACTTATTTCATATACTTAAGCAATGTTACACAAGCAAAAATTATGTTATGCTTTATTATACCACTGACGGTGTATTATCTGACGGACTGACAAACACATTTTCAAGTCAAATAGAGATTATCACAGCACATAATTCTATGCTGTAAAACAACAGTATTTTGGTAATATGATTAGATATGCCCATTTTATATTTTAAATATATTTCCTTTGTAAAATGATTTTTACTTTGTTCAACAGGGTTAATTTATTTACCTATTTTGACATTAAAATAGTCCTATCATGACAAGATTTTAACATGGTAATGGATATGACAATAATGTTAATGTATTTGGTCTTGGCGAAATAGATCTGCTACGCTGCAGCTGAACTAAACACACAAACCCCACTGCTGCAGTGATACAACAGCCAGAAAACCGGAGCTTTCTCCTTTCCAGCACCCTGATTCCTCCCGGAGATCCTAAGAGGGGCAGGCACACAAATCCTGATGCCCAGAGAAAAGCTCTGCTCAAGGCCCTGCCCTCCCCTCATAGACCAACAGCTGTCAAGCGTGATAGGAACAAGGAACAGTGTAGAGGGTACAATATGTGCACGTGTATAAAACATATCACAGAAATTATTAATATAACAAAACTAAAAACAAGTTTATTTATGCTTTTATTAGTAATACCTTGTATGTAAAAGATACTGACTGTAAATGCATGTGAGAGCAAACATGTACTTTTGTAACCGTCCAAGAGAGGGCAGCAGCACTGAACCTGGACTTCCTCAGCACAACCACCAGACCAGGTGCGAAAGGACCATGTCACTCTCACTTCCCATGTTTCCATGACAGCACATGTGTGATACAGAGTTCTAAAGATGTTCACCACAGACCTAAATATATCTTCTAAATATGAGCTGATCCTCATCTCTGCCTATAACAATGCAGAGAATGAAAGAAATGCAGAATGTAAGAAAGACAGAAAGTGTAAGCAGAATAGAAATGCAGAAATACACAATACAAAAGAGAGAAAAAAGAAAGCTAGAAAGACAAAAAAACTATAAAAAGAAACAGAAATAAAAATGAAATGCAAAAACATGAACAAATTTTAAAACATGAAAAAAATATAGAAATGCAATAAATTGAGAAAGAGAGAAATACAGAAAGAAAAATGTAATTTAGAAAAAAATGCAAGCAAATAAAAACAGAAAGAAAAAATCAGACTGAATTAAAAATGCAAAAAGAAAGAAAGAAAGAGAGAGAGAGAGAGAAAGAGAGAGAAAGATGCAGAAATACATAAAAAAATGCCTAAAGAAAGAAATACATGAAAGAAAGAAAGAAAGATGCAGAAATACATAAATAAATGCATTAAGAAAGAAATTTATAAAGAAAAAAGAAATGCATGAAGAAAGGAATACATGAGGAAATACATAAAGAAAGAAAGAATGCAGAAATACATAAAGAAAGGAATGTGTGAAGAAAATGCATGAAGAAAGGAAGAAATGCCAAAATAAATGCAGAAAAAAATTAAAACTGCAAAAAGAAGAAAAATGCACAAATGCAAACAGAGAAGAGAAATAAAGAACGTGATTGCAGATGTATAGAAAGGGAAAAATTTAAAAAGAAAGAAATGCAAAAAGAAAGAAAGAAATGCAGAAAGAAAGAAATGCAGAAAAGAAAGGAAAAGAAAAGAAAAGAAAAAAGAAAAAAGTTCTACATAGTCTCCAGCTTTCATTTACTAGGTAATGTTGGTGTATTCTGACTGATTCACCCAAAATTCACAGAGGCCAGCAATTCTCTGCTACAAATCACACCAGGACAACACACGGCAGGAGCCGCTCGCTTCTGTTCATGAGAATCAAAGAGGAAATAAATCAAACTGACAGAGTAAGGGACACTTTAAGTGACAGACAGATAGTGCTGGTCAAAAAAGGGCCACACGGGGTATTAAATCTGAACTATACGAGTCCATAAACATACTTCCATGTCTGATCAGAGACTATGAGAAAGAAGTTCCTTGCTTTCCTCACCGCTTTATATGTTTTCTTCTGTCCGGCGTGTTTGGGTGCTTTGGCCGGGTCAGAGCTGATCTCCACGTGCATGGCATAGATGATGTCATAGAAGTCCTCCACCATAGCGACCCTTTTGAGAAAGGAGTTCTCCGGCCCCGAGCCCCCGTCCACACACTGAAATCACACAAAAAAATAGACTTATTTCATATACTTAAGCAATGTTACACAAGCAAAAATTATGTTATGCTTTATTATACCACTGACGGTGTATTATCTGACGGACTGACAAACACATTTTCAAGTCAAATAGAGATTATCACAGCACATAATTCTATGCTGTAAAACAACAGTATTTTGGTAATATGATTAGATATGCCCATTTTATATTTTAAATATATTTCCTTTGTAAAATGATTTTTACTTTGTTCAACAGGGTTAATTTATTGACCTATTTTGACATTAAAATAGTCCTATCATGACAAGATTTTAACATGGTAATGGATATGACAATTATGTTAATGTATTTGGTCTTGGCGAAATAGATCTGCTACGCTGCTGCTGTTGGTTATTGCTGTTGTTTTCGAGTATTGCTGCTGCTGCTGCTGCTGCAAAGCATGTACAGGAACTTGCTACTGCCGATACATGACGATACAGTGCTGTGAAGACATACTGCTGCTGCACAAATAGCATATATCAGCGGTTCTCAATTCCAGTCCTCGTGCCCCCCAACCCCCCGCACATTTTGTGTGCATCTCTTACCGCTTCAGACGTTTTTTCTATTCGAACGTAAGTGCCCTGCAAAGTGGACATCACAGGATGTTCTGCCATGATCCCAGTTCGAAGCGATATGTTCCATTTAAAGGTCATTAAAGTGTATGAGAATTTAAATAGTACGTGAATTTAAATAGTATTTATTTACAGAGGCATTTATGTCACACTTCACACTCTAGTAAGTTTCATCTGTGTGTGAAGATGCTGCAGGCAGTGGCGTAGCGCAAATATATGAATGAATGTTCAGAAGAAGTAAACTTCAATGTATTTCCCCTGCTCAGGGTATAGGAAGCAAAGAACAAATTGTAGGGAACATGTCAATCGGAACACAGTTCATGCACAGAGCTCACTTCTAATGAGCTGGTTATCTAAATCAGGTGTGTTAACTAAGGACTGTGAGGACTGGAATTGAGAACCGCTGGCATATATAATAAACTGTAGCAGATCTATACAGGTGGAGCTGGGGGAGGTGGAGGGTTTCAGAGGAACTCTAAAAGCACGCTGTGAACTGCTCTAGTGAATGCTGACCAGCCATTTAAATGTAAAGCAGTAAGCTCATTGGCTGTGTATGTAACATGAACCAATCAGCTTGTACCAAGCAGTTTAACACTGTGAATATCATTAGTTTGCGTTAAGGACCCATCAGTCTGTGCTATCTAGAGTTTCATGACAGAACTTGACATTTTCATTCTGTTCAGTGTGACTGGTTGAAATTACAGTGCCAGAACAGGTGTGTGTGTTCAATACCAGACTCGTTTAGCAGTAAATGATAGAAAAAGAGTTTAATGGCTAATTTATTTATGAATACAATTTAGATGGGATATTTGCAAAGCGGAATTTAATAATCACTGAAGCACAAAATATCACCTACTCTATGAGACCAGCACTACTGTCACCTGATATGGGCTAGTGGCAAAAACATAATCTGTGTCTTTTTTTATAGGTGCATATAGTTTAAAAAAAATTATAATTTTTTAATATTTTTTTATTTTTACATGAGTCAAAATGAAATTAAATTGAAATTTTTGGTATCACTTTAGTATAGGGACCAATTCTCAATATTAACTATTAATTAGCATGCCTATTATTAACACATTAGTTGTTTATTAGTACTTATAAAGCACATATTCTGCATGACCATATTCTACATCCCCAATCCTACCCAATACCTAAACTTAACAACTACCTTGCCAACTATTAATAAATAGGAAATTAGGAGTTTGAGGCAAAAGTTGTCGTTAATAGTTTGTTATTAGTGAGAATTGGACCTTAAAATGAAGAGTGACCAAATTTTCTGTGCATTTCTTTCTTTATTCAGTCGTAAATAAATTAAAGCTGCAGTTCTATAGAGTTTTGCCTCTTTGTCACCATCTCTGTTTGAAATCTGCAATTGCAGTTATTTGTGGAGTTACTTTCTTTACGTGGGTTGTGCATCGGCACGGCTCCTCAGCATGGATGAATACTCCTCAATGTTTTGTTTTGTCCTTGTTCTCAAAATGTTAATGCTCTACACGAGCCCAGCCAAGGAATAGGGGTCTTATCTAGCAAAAATGATCAGTCATTTTATAAAAAAAATAAAACATATACTTCTTAACCACAAATGTTCATCTTTGAAGCTTTGAAGCTGCATTGAAACTGCAATTTTGACCTTCAACCCATTGAAGTCCACTATATGGTGAAAAATCCTGGAATGTTTTCCTCAAAAACCTCAATTTCTTTTTGACTTACAAAAAAAAGACATGAACATCTTGGATGACATGGGGGTTAGTAAATTATCAGGAAATTTTTAATTCTGGAGTGAACTAATCCTTTAAAAAGGCTAGCTAAAAATAAATTCTGCAGTACAGAGAAACTGCAAAAGCTCTGATTCTCAGAGGGACTTTTAAGAGTGCTGAAAGAGGAATTCTGGGTAGAGTCTCACCTCTCCCATATGAGGAGCAGCGCTGGAGAGACAAGATATTTTCCTCAAGGGTACAGAGTCTGATCATGGCAGACACAGACGACAGACACAATACACTCAAAATAAGCACAGAACAAACATCTGAGAAGATTTTGCCTGTATTATTGCAAAAAAGACACTAACTTGATTTTAAAAAACATTGCCATGGATAAACAGGATCATGGTTCAATGATGTCATCTGATACTGAGCTATGATATATACACTGTATATCAGGGTGATATAGATATATATATATATAGATATAGATATACAGGGTGCGATTTGTGAACAAACCAGAGGGGGGGATGTTTTGGAAAAAAAACTTACTTTTTTCCCCTTTAAAATATATCACAGATCACAGCAATAAATATATAGATCATTTTTGACACCTGTTACAAATAACAATTTTTACAATAAATATTCTGATTTGACCTTGAGGTTAGATAGCTTCAATATTTGACCACTATTTATGATAATACTTGGTTACAGTGACACTAGTAGTTCTCATTTCTGCCAGGAATGCAAAATCAATCGGGAGTTAATGATATTTTGATCAGAATAACGAGACACTGTTAATTTTCATTTGCTTCCATATTTTTTATCAGTGCTTCGCTACACAACATACAAACTTTACTCCAAAAGTGTGCACATTTGGCTATGTATTCACACGTTTACCTCATATTTCTTTAAATAGAATAGAACCATAATTTCTTAATGACTCGCAGAAAGACGATTCTCTGCCGATCCATCAGTCAATATTGCATGATCATAATTCCCACATTAAGGTGACGGTAAACTTCTGCGTTCTGTCTCATAATACATTTATGCGTCAGTTTATTTACAATATCTGCATTAGGTCACAATAGAGAGAGTTCTGAGCAAAAACATATTAAAATGTGTATTAATGTCATACTATAACAAATAGCGCACTGACTTTCTGAAAAGCGCTGTATGGATTGAGGCGCGTGAACCAGGATCACGAAACCCAGACGCTCTCTATTAAGCAGGAGGAGCGCTGACAGTTAAAGTCCATTTCTGATTTTATTGTTGTTTGTATTGTCATGTTGCAGTATTTTACTTGCTAGTGTTTTAAAAAATATTTTTACTTTTGGTATTCTATATGCTTTGTTGATGGTTGGTGGAGCATCACCCGGGGGGATATTTTTTTTTCCCACTGGGGATAAATATAATTCAGCATTATATGGCATATATATATATATATGGCATTATCATGGCCTTTTGTGTATTAAGTATGACAAATATATATATATATAGCCCCTTCATACTTTAAAAGTAATGAGAAACGTATTTCACACATTATATTTGTTTAGCACGGCATCAGGTTTAAAGCAGTAAATGGTAGTTTTGGGATCCAGTTCCCATCGGAGGGCCAGCCTCGTTACCACGGTAACCGATGCCAGCCTCTTGGGTAGGTATGTGGGGCAGCGGGGTCATGTGACACACAGAACCTCCAAGTCAAAGTTGGACTAGCTAACTCAAATCACCATCTGCATCTTCTATTCTTCTCATCGCCCGTGTCACATGCAGTGATGCTCTTTGCCTCCACCACATCCCCCACTCAGTCCTCTCCGCCACCTACTACAGGGCCACGGGGTTACCATGGCAGCAAGGGTGTATCGGCAAAACAGCATCTCAAAGACTCCCATCATTTTACTTTTAATGATAACTTATATTCCACTCTCAAATCATCACGTTATGGTATAAGAATAGTTCTACACTAAACATGAAACTACGCGCTCTGACACGCGGTGAGCCTCTGCAGTAATGTGACACACGCTCACACGTTTACTGCTGGATTCTACTCCACTACATTAACTTTAGGAGATAGGACACGTGTGCCAGGCTCTGCCAATGTGTGTGTGTTAGAGATTCATGCTGCTGTAGCATGATGCCGCCCCGGCCTTCAACCCCCCTTTTCCCAGCGTTGCGGGGCACATCAGCGGCCTGGGACGATAGTGTGTGTGACAGCAGCAGCCCAACAACAAGCGCCAATGTGGGACACAGGAAGGAGGGGGTCAGGGCAGCACCTTCAGGCGCAGCAGACAGGACACTCGCGCATGCCCGTACTAATACACAGGGCGCACCTCAAGGCATTGAGGATAGGACAGAGAAAGTTCCCCCTTCCCCCACCGCCTGCACGGGGTCAAAGTCACCGAACCCTGATAGGGTAAAAGCAGGCTGTCCTGCACAACAAGCTCACAGCCCGATATTAGCATTTTCTTTGTGCCACTGCAACATAGCATCACATGCATGGATATAAATCAAGTGCAATTTTATTGCCTCAAAAATGAAGATACAATGGTTGTCAAAAACCTAGGTGGGCAGTCCATCATACCTAGTGGAAGTTTAGGTTTCTGTGTTCTGAGATGCCTTCATCTGGTGGATTTTTTGAAGGCAGCATAAATGCATCCTTCACTCTCTGTGATATCCCACAGCGTATGG